TTTTGTGTCCTCTCTTATTTCTTTGAGCAGTGGCTTGTAGTGTTCTCCTTGAAGAAGTCCTTTATGTTCCTTGTTAGTTGTATTCCTAGGTATTTTATTCTCTTTGTAGCAATTGTGAATGGCAGTTCGTTCTTGATTTGGCTCTCTTTAAGTTTGTTATTTGTGTATAGGCATGCTTGTGATTTTTGCACATTTTGTATCCTGAGACTTTGCTGAAGTTGCTTATCAGTTTCAGGAGATTTGGGGCTGAGACGATGGGGTCTTGTAGATATACAATCATGTCATCTGCAAATAGAGACAATTTGGCTTCCTCCTTTCCTATTTGAATACCCTGTATTTCTTTTTCTTGCTTGATTGCTCTGGCTAGAGCTTCCAGTACTATAATGAATAGGAGTGGTGAGAGAGGGCATCCTTGTCTAGTGCCAGATTTCAAGGGGAATGCTTCCAGTTTTTGCCCATTCAGTATGATATTTGCTGTTGGTTTGTCATAAATAGCTTTTATTGTTTTGAGATACGTTCCGTCAATACCTAGTTTATTGAGGGTTTTTAGCATAAAGGGCTGTTGAATTTTGTCAAAGGCCTTCTCTGCATCAGTTGAGATAATCATGTGGTTTTTGTCTTTGGTTCTGTTTATGTGGTGAATTATGTTTATAGATTTGTGTATGTTGAACCAGCCTTGCATCCCTGGGATGAATCCTACTTGATCATGGTGGATAAGCTTTTTGATGTGCTGTTGCAATTGACTTGTCAGTATTTTATTGAAGATTTTTGCATCTATGTTCATCATGGATATTGGCCTGAAATTTTCTTTTCTTGCTGAGTCTCTGCCGGGTCTTGGTATCAGGATGATGTTGGTCTCATAAAATGATTTGGGAAGGATTCCCTTTTTTTGGATTGTTTGGAATAGTTTCAGAAGGAATGGTACCAGCTCCTCTTTGTATGTCTGGTAGAATTCGGCTGTGGACCCATCTGGACCTGGGCTTTTTTTGGGTGGTAGGCTCTTAATTGCTGCCTCAACCTCAGACCTTGTTATTGATCTATTCAGTGTTTCAACTTCTTCCTGGTTTAGGCTTGGTTGGATGCAAGTGTCAAAGAATTTATCCATTTCTTCCAGGTTTACTAGTTTATGTGCATAGAGTTATTTGTAATAATCTCTGATGATGGTTTTAATTTCTGTGGAATCTGTGGTGATATCCCCTTTATCATTTTTTATTGCATCTATTTGATTATTCTCTAGTTTCTATTAATCTGGCTAGTGGTCTATTTTGTTGATCTTTTCAAAAAACCAGCTCCTGGATTTATTGATTTTTTTTTTTTTTTTGAAGAGTTTTTTGTGTCTCTATCTCCTTCAGTTCTGCTCTGATCTTAGTTATTTCTTGTCTTTTGCTAGGTTTTGAGTTTTTTTGATCTTGCTCCTCTAGCTCTTTCAGTTTTGATGATAGGGTGTCAATTTTAGATCTCTCCTTGCTTCTCAAATGGTTTAAAGTCTGTTTTATTGGAAACTAGCATTGATATCCCTGATTTTTTTTTTTTTTTGCTCTCCATTTGCTTGGTAAATCTTCCTCCATCCCTTTATTTTGAGTCTATGTGAGTCTTTGCACATGAGGTGGGTTTCCTGGATACAGCACACTGATACGTCTTGACTTTTTATCCAGTTTACCAGTCTGTGTCTTTTGATTGGGGCATTTAGGCCATTTACATTCAACATTAATATTGTTATGTTTGAATTTGATCCTGCCATTTTGTTACTGGTTGGTTGTTTTTCCCATTAGTTGATGTGCTTCCTTCATTGCTTTGTTTTTCTTTACCATTTGGTACATTTTTGCAGTGGCTGGTACTAGTTGTTCCTTTCCATGTTTAGTACTTCCTTCAGGAGCTCTTGTAAGGCAGGTCTTGTAGCAACAAAATATCTGAGCAGTTGCTTGTCCATAAAGGATTTTATTTCTCCTTCACTAAGAAGCTTAGTTTGGCTGGATATGAAATTCTGGGTTGAAAGTTCTTTAAGGATGTTTAATATTGGCCCCTACTCCCTTCTAGCTTTTAGGGTTTCTGCTGAGAGATCTATTCTGAGTCTGATAGTCTTTCCTTTGTGGGTGACTCAACCTTTCTCTCTGGCTGCCCTTAGGAATTTTTCCTTCATTTCAACCCTGGTGAATCTGACAATTATGTGCCTTTGGGTTGCTCTTCTTCAGAAGTATCTTTGTGGTGGTCTCTGTATTTCTTGTATTTGAATGTTGGCCTGCCTTGTTAGGTTGGGAAAGTTCTCCTGGATAATACCCTGAAGAGTGTTTTCCAGCTCGGATTCATTTTCCCCGTCACATTCAAGTACACTGATCAAGTGTAGATTAGGTCTTTTCACATAATCCCATAGTCTTTGGAGGCTTTGTTAGTTTCTTTTCACTCTTTTTTTCTCTAATCTTGCCTTCTCATTTTATTTCATTGATCTGATCTTCAATCTTTGATAGCCTTTCTTCTGCTTGATCAACTTGGCTGTTGAAACTTGTGTATGCCTTGTGAAGTTCTTGTGCTGTTTTTCAGCTCCATCAAGTCATTTATGTTCTTCTCTAAGCTGGCTATTCTAGTTGGTGTTTTGTCTAACCTTTTTGCAAGGTTCTTAGTTTCTTTGCATTGGGTTAGAACATGGTCTTTTAACTCAGAGAAGTTTGTTATTACCTACCTTCTGAAGCCTGCTTCTGTCAAATTTCAAACTCATTCTCTGTCTTGTTTTGTTCCCTTGATGGTGTGGAATTGTGATCCCTGGGAGGAGAAGAGGTGTTCTGGTCTTTGAAGGTTTCGTCCTTTTTGTGCTGGTTTCTTCCCATCTTTGTGGATTTATCTCCCTTTGATCTTTGAAGTTGATGATTTCTGGAGGACTCTCTGAGTGGACGTCCTTTCTGTTGAGGTTGGAGCTATATCTTTTTTGGCCTGCAGAGGCACTGCTGGGCTGCCTCAGATTCATTCAAGTTGCTGGGTGGGTGGTCTTCCCCTGGAATTTGTTTATGCTGGTGAGAATAGCCCTGCCTTCCAAATGGCTCTCTCCTTCTCCAAACTCAATCTTCCTGGTTGGGGTCAAACTGGAGTATTCGTTGAGAAGCTCTCTAGCGGGTGGGCTTCAGTTTGAGTTTTGTGGGGGTGGGGCCTGCCAGGCCTTATGGCCTGTTTCGCTGCTTTCAACTCTGCCTCTTTTGTGGGACGAGTAGTTCTGACCTGCTGGCGTTAATCCAAACTTCCGCCCGGTCCATGCCGACAACTGTGCCATCGCTCAGATTTGCATTGACAACCCACACTGCCCCTCAGTCTGGCAGGGCTCTAGTGGACCGTGGGTTGCAGGAGGGATGAGGGAAGCACAGGATCCTATTTGGAGCATCGAGGTGGTGAAGTCCCCAACCCTCCAAGCTGGCTGCACATTCCAGGTGGGGACATACCTCGCCCTGTCTCAGTTCACCCTCCCTGGCTGCTCTGACCCTGGGCTATTTTCAGAGTCCTACCACTGCCACCAAAACAAACCTGGCATCTTGCTTGGAATCGTGAAGTCCTCTAGCCCTCTGCGTCTCATTCGCTGGGAGCTGCATTCCAGTGTTGCCTCTTATTGGCCATCTTGGTGCACGTCCTTATTCCATAATTCTAAGACTTTTCCTTTCTAGGAAAGCCATGTTTTTATATGGTTGCCATACATCCTTATTCTTTTATTAGCTTCATTAACCTCTTCTTGCAATTACAAAATAAGGTATGTGCAGAAAATAGTTTAGAGGTATATCTGACAAAAACGTCAGTAATTAACTCTGGGTGGTGGAGTACAGATGATTGTAATTTTATCTTTATATGTTTCTGTATATGTTGGATGTCCCAAAGTAAAAAATGTGCAGCTGAATAAACCTAAAACTTTTGATAAATAATTTTTAATAACTGTAACTTCCCACCTGACAAATATAAGACAAAAAGTTTATGTAAATAACCAAATCAACTAACTGTACTGATCAAATGCTGAAGACACACAGGGGCAGCCTGTGTTCATCTTAAACTGTATGGTTGGTGTCAGTTGCAGATCCTGCACGGATGCTACTGATACCTCTGCTCAGCTCTAATAGTTGTGAGCTCCTACCTTTTCTTTGTTTTTCTCTTTTTAAAAAATCTTTTCTTTAGGGATAATTTTGACTCATAAGAAATTGCAAAAACAGTGCACCATTCTCATGTACCCTAATGATAACATCTGACAGAACATTAGCATATTACCATTTCATCCCATAAAATGTTACCAAAAATATCTATACATCGGATACAGTTTAAAAATAGTGCACCATTCCCAGCTTACCCTAATAACATCTGACATATTGTTAGCATGTTACCATTTCATTCCATGTAATGTTACCAGAAATATCTATACATGGGATACAATTTTACTGAAACTTCATCTTTTTTTTACCTGACACCAGCACCCTCCCTCAAAATAATTTAGGCCAGTATTTCTCAGAGTTCTTCAAAATATTTATTAAGTACTACTCATGATTAAGGAGGAAGAAGCACATATTCTAAGGCCAGTTAGACTGAGGAAGTGTTGGGTGTTTTTTTTTTTTTTTTTTTTTATTGCAGAATGTCTCAAAACCTCTACTGTGTTAACATGTGTTTTGACACTCTAAGAGGAAAATATATGCACCATTTTCCAAGTTCATTTGTCTAGCACCCCCATTTGCAGCTAGGCAGACAAATGTATTTTGAGGTAACATTTTAAGAAACATTGTAAATTCTTCCCCTGTAGGCATGATAAAGTATACCATGGATGAACATTCAACATGTCATGCTGCTGTAAGCACCTTGCCAACTTAATCTTTTAGCAGATTTCTATATTAAACTTGGTTTAGCAAAAAGATTTAGCAACTATTACAAAACTATCATTAACAAATTCAAATGTCCTACAACTATGAAAACATACATATACATCCCTGTAACAACTTGAGGAAAACCTTCATGATGCCTTTTTTTTTTTTTTTTTTTTTTAACAGCATTTGCCATCTATCAATCGCTGCCCTATTTTGAATCATTTGGTACTTATTCCACCGAGCTGCCCTTTGACTTATCCATCTATTTCCCATATGTGCTGAAAATATATCTCATGATGCTCTTTATAGGTAAGTGGCTTTTTTGGTCTTGTTTTTGCATTTTTCTTATGCTTTTTGGTTAGTGCTTGCCATCTACCTTAATATACAGGTTGGTAAACATGGGAGAGACCAAAGAGGAACTAGAACTTGTTAGTAGAGCACCTGGAGGTTATAATGGTTATAATGCTTTTTGCAGGACATGATGGGATCAATCATGTTTCACTTTCACTGTACAAACAGGAACAATTTTACCATCAGAAAATACAGCTGCACTGTGTGTAAGATATAGAAGTTTTGACCATGTGCACAGGTATCTACAAATAAAGCCTAGATGTCAAACTAAGAAGAATTGGCTATTTCTGATTTTTCCATTTTGTTTCTTGTTTGGCTTTTCACACCGGCCCCTCCTATCAGGCAAATGGGAGTCGGTGTTAGAAACTGAAGACAAATGTATGAAACAAAAACTTGCCCTTGAATAAATTTGAACATTAAAGTTAATGGTTTTCCAGACAATTGGGGAAAAAAACTTTGATTATTAAATTTTTGTTTTCCCACCTCTAACCATCACAAATCTCCAAAATAATGATTATCTCTAGAAGGTAACGGATATGAAACAAAAACAACACATAGAAAAGACAAAAATGTGAGTCTTTAGAGATGGAAAGAGCTACCCTAAAGAAAGGAAAGACAATTGCTTGCTTTAAAAGCAGGATAGAAAGAGTTTGATTTACCTCTCTTTCTGCATAAAATCTGGATACTTCCTTAAGCATTCCTTCTTCACATCTCCCTTGAGAGTGTCTTCTCCCTGGAATTCGGGCAGCACTCTGTATTTTAAAATCATTGTTCCTTCCAGAGAAATAGATAACCTTGCTTACCTTTGCAACTTCTTTCTCCACATTAGGTATGTATTTTACCTACAGTCATCTATACTCAGAAAGAAGAGACATCCTTGGAATCTTTCCCATTAAAAAGAAGAAAATGTGAAGTACAGCATTCCAGTGTGACATGAGAAAAGACAGGCTGTGGATTCAGCTGCAGTAAATACAATGCAGGAAGTATTCCGGTGGAAAAATACCTTTTATTTGATAAAATTCCATTACATGAAATAATTGCACATACCCCCAAAACTCTAAACATAACAGACTGTTTTTCATACATTGTATCTTTAAGACATACATATTTTCCATACCTTGCTTCACCAAAATTCCTGTTTTACTTGGATTTGATACAAGTTATACTTAAATTGTATGAAGTCTGATTATTTTCCTGTAAGGTTAATGAGAAATAGAAGATTAACTGCAGTAGATTTAATTAAATTAAGAAACCAAACTTGATAACCTAAATTACATGTTTTTTTTTGTTTGTTTTTTTTTGACTTCCGACTCCCAAAATATATCTATTAGCGGGGGGGTGTGATGGAAAATATATTCCACTGTTGACTAGAGTAACATATTTTACAGACAGATGTCTATCTTCAGAGGAAATAATTCAATACTCACCCTAAACATTAGATATGTTTAGAAAATTAAATATGTTTCCAAGCCCTGTGTCTTAGCTCAGGTTGCTGTAACAAAACACCATTAACCGAATGGCTTCAACAACAGCAACTCTTCTCACAGCTCTGGAGGCTGGGAATTCCATTCAAGATCAAGGTGCTAGCTAATGCACTTCCTGGTGACGGCCCTCTTCCTGGTTTGCAGATAGATGCCTTGCTGTGTCCTCACATGAGAGAGAGATCTACTGTCTTGTGTCTTTTACAGTGGCAATAATCCCATTCATAAGGACTCCACCCTCATGACCTAATTACCTCCCAATGACCCCACCCCCAAATACCATCATATTGGAGGTTAGGGCTTACCACATGAATTTTGGGGGAACACAAAGATTCAGTCCATAGCATTCTGCAGCTGGCCTTACAAAATTAATGTCCTTCTCACATGCAAAATACATGCATTCCATCTCAACAGCCTCCAAATTCTTAACTCATTCCTGCATCAACTCTAAAGTCCAAAGTCTCATCTAAATCAGATGTGGGTGAGATTCAAGGTACAATTCATCCTAAGGCAAAATTCCTTTATAGCTGTGAAACTGTGAAATGAAACAAGATATGTGCTTCCAAAAATACAATGGTGGGCCACACAAAGGATGGACATTCCCATTCCCAAAGCAAGAAACGGGACAGAAGGAAGGTGTAATGGGTCCCCAACAAGTCCAAAACCTAGCAAGGCAAACACCATGAGATGTTCAGGCTTGGGAATAATCCTCTTTGGCTTGATGTTCTGGCTTCAGGAACCAGTGAGGCAGAAGTATTGCCCCCAGGACAATGTCGGAGGAGGACGACCCCTATATCACCAGGCAGAAGCTGTCAGGCCTGTTGAAAAACCACTGCAATGACTGCCCCTTCTGAAACTGAGGAGGTACACCTGATGTTCTCTGAATCACCTTTCAAGGTCAGTCTTTCCTTGTCTTGAAGAATAGTGTACATTCACAGCTGAATAGCTCTATGCTCCCAAATCCAACAGCCTTCCTTCATTTTGTCCCATCACCATTTTAATAAAACTGGCAGTGTTCCTGCTGGGATGGCTGATTAGGTCTGTGGTTCGCACCCACAGAAGTCTAAGTGGATGATTCGTCTGCTACACCGTTAGTGTTCTCTTCCAAACAAGTTTTATCTTTTTGTAATGCAGACAGACTGATAATTTCCCAAACCTTTAAGTTCTGGTTCCATTTTGGTTAACAAGTGTGTCATGTTTTAATTTTTACTTTAAGCAGTCCAAGGCACTCTTTCAACACTGTTTGGAGATCTCTTCAGTTCAATATCGAATTTCATGGCTCAACATTGTAACTTCCACAAAACACTAGAACATGAACACAATCATCCAAGTTCTTTGGCACATTATAACAAAGATCACCTTTCTTTCAATTTCCCATAAGAGGTTCCTTATTTTCATTTGAGACGTCATCAGCATGGCCTTTATTGTCTATGTCTACCAACATTCTATTTTGTGGTGATTTATGTATTCTCTAAGAAGATGGAGGCTTTCTTTCCCACCCTATTTTCTTTGAGCCCTCATTAAAATCAACTCTGTCAATCCCTTCATGGCAATATTGGCTTTTTCTAGCATGTACCTCAAAACTCTTCCAGCTTCTATCTGTTACCTAACTTCAAAGCTGCTTCCGCATCTTTGTGTATTGGTTATAGCAGCACCTTACTTCTTGGTACCAACTATCTTAGTCACCTTGGCTGTTACAACAAAACTGGGTGCTTCAGACAAATACATTTCTCACAGCTCTGGGGGCAGGGAAGTCCAAGATAAAGGTGCTGGCTAGTTAAGTTCCTGATGAGGTTCCAAGGTGCTAGCTGATTCTTCCTCATGGTTTATAAGATGGATGCCTTCTTGCTATATCCTCACATGGTGTAAAGATATACTGTCTCTCCCATGTTTCTTATTGTAAAGGTACTAATCCCATTTATGAAGGTTCCAGTTTGAAATGCCATCACACTGGAGATCTTCAACATATGAATTTAGTGGGTGACAGTAGCCTTCAGTCCTTAGTGCTCTGATAGAGTATTCATTAATATCATGTTCATTAACATTTTCTAAGTTATTTAGGCTTTGATGCCTTAAAAGAAGACCCTGGCCAGGCATGGTGGCTTACACCTGTAATCCTAGCACTTTGAGAGGCCGAGGTGGGCAGGTCACTTGAGGTCAGGAGTTCAAGACCAGCCTGGCCAACATGGCGAAAACACGTGTATACTAAAAATACAAAAATTAGCTGTGCGTGGTGGCACATGCCTGCAATCCTAGCTACTCGGGAGGCTGAGGCATGAGAATCACTTGAGCCCAAGAAGCAAGGGTTGCAGCGACTGGAGATGGAGCCATTGCACTCCAGCCTGGATGACGGAGTGAGTCTGTCTCAACTACAGCAAAAAAAAGACCCTGACGAAAATAGTAAACCTTCAGCAAATACACAAATGCCCCAATTCTGTATTATTTTTAATTTTAAAAATCATGACACACACATTAAAGGCAGATAAAAGATATACAAATATACTAAATACTTTTTAAAAAAGGAAATTAGTGTTTTGGATTATCACTGAATTATTATTGCTAATTAATGTAAGTCATATTTCCTCACAGTTTTGAAAAATGCTTTCTTTGAAGATCTAAAAAATGTGTGAATAACTGATGATCATTGCTATATCACTGATGTATCACTAAATTTTTGGTAAATAATTATAAAGACCTTATCTAGTAACTATATAAAAAGGTATTAAATATATTGAGATGTAAGAATAGTATAACAAAAATTTTAAAAATGGATAACTTGGGCCGGGCGCGGTGGCTCAAGCCTGTAATCCCAGCACTTTGGGAGGCCGAGGCGGGTGGATCACGAGGTCAAGAGATCGAGACCATCCTGGTCAACATGGTGAAACCCCGTCTCTACTAAAAATACAAAAAATTAGCTGGGCATGGTGGCGCGTGCCTGTAATCCCAGCTACTGGGGAGGCTGAGGCAGGAGAATTGCCTGAACCCAGGAGGCGGAGGTTGCGGTGAGCCGAGATCGCGCCATTGCACTCCAGTGTGGGTAACAAGAGCGAAACTCCGTCTCAAAAAAAAAAAAAAAAAAAAAAAAAACAAAAACGGATAACTTATTTCCTCTAAAGAAAACATTTTAAAAGAAACAATTATTAGGCTACTTGAAATCTTTATAAAAACAATTGGATTTTTAAAAATTATCCTTTTAAAAAGCTACATTTTATTTTGCTCTTATATTTATCTTCTAAATTTCTGAAAAATTACTGAAAGTTTTAACAGGCAAGGAGAACAAAAACTCTTTGCAAATTTTAGGTGAGTTAATCACTCCCAATAGGGACTGTAAGCAGCCATCTTTAAGTATATCCACAATCAGTCACTAAAACAAAGAGAAAGAGTTAGAGAAACTACACTTTACTGGGTCATTATTATAAATTAAAATTTCATTATTAAATAATGCTTTAATTTTTTAAACCAGTTTACCTTGAAAATTTCTTAAAATTGGAAACCAAAAGAAACACAAGTGAATTTATACTTATTTTAATTTTAAAAGAGAAATGAGGATTGACAGTAATTTGAGATATTTGCAACAATTGTAACATAAAAAGATCTGCCATTTCCTTTGGTGACAGGCACAATTGTTAACATTACTGTGGTTGGTTGCCTATTTCATAGTTGAAAGGAATACTAAACTTCATTATAAATTAGTGAGAATAAAGGAATAATTTTTTTCCACTCAAGTACATGTTCCCCAGGTTAAGAAACCCAACATAGTAAAGTCAATACAGTAAATATCTGGTTAATTAGATGTTACCAAGACTGCAAAGTTGATTTCTTTGCTATCTGTCTTAACTGTATGTTCACCAAATCCCTATTTCATTTTGTACAGTGTAGACAAAGCCTTAGTTTCTCAAATCTAAGTAACATAGATGAAATAGGAACCATGAGATATTTTGAAAACACATCTAAGACAACCTTTTTCCTGCACTTTTTTTATTGTGGTAAAATGTAAAATATACCATCTTAATCATTTTTAAGTGTGCAGTTCAGTAGTAGTAAGTAATTTATATTGTGCAACCGTCACCACTATCCATCTCCAGGTCTCTTTTGACCTTGCAAAACTTAAATTCTAGACTCAATAAGCAATGGTTCCCTATTCTCCCATCTGCCCTGTCCCTGGCAACCACCAATCTACTTTTTGTCTCTATGGTTTTGATTGCCCTAAGTGTCTCATATAAATGTAATCATACAGTATCTGTCTTTTGTAATTGGCTTATTTCACTTAGCATGACGTCCTCAAGCTTCTTCCACGTTGTATATGTCAGAATTTTTTCCTTTTTGAGGCTGACTGACAAGGAGGGAATTACTTCTGTCATTTTGCTATTTGTTTTCTACATAGCTTAGCTTTTTGGTCCTTCATTTCCTGCATTACTGTAGTCTTTTGTGTGTAGTTTACTTTTTTAGAATGAAACCTTTAAATATCTTTCTCAGTTCTTCTGTGTATATTCTGTAGCTGTTTTCTTTGTGGTTAACATGGGATGACATTTAATATCCTGATGCTAATTTGGATTTATACCAGCTGAACTTCAAAAACATACAAAAATTCTGCTCATTACATCTCCATCAATCACTCCTTTAAGTTTCACAAAATTATATACACTGTGTGCAAAATCAATTTTTAAAAATGCATTAGTCTCTATGTATAAAACAAAAAGTGGAGTTACAAACCATTGTTACAAAAGTACTAGATTTTATATTTGCCCGTGAATTTTTCTTTACTGAGATCTTTATTTCTTCATGTGGCTTTGAGTTGCTGTTAAGTGTCTTTCCATCAACCTGCAGAACTCGTATTAGCATTTCTGGCAGGGGCAGATCTAGTGGTAACATACTCTCTCAGCTTTTGTTTATCTGGGAATGTCTTAATTTTTCTCTCACGTTTGAAGAATGGTTTTGCCAAATACAGGAAATGTGGTTGATGTATTTTTTTCCTAATACTTTCAATATATGAGCTCACTGCCTTCTGGCTTCCCAAGTTTCTGATGAGAAATCTGTTGATAATCTTATTATCAGTTATATGTGATAAATTGATTTTTTCATGCTACTTTCAAGATTCTCTTTTTGTCTTTGGCTTTTGACAGTTTGTGTGGATCTCTTTAAATTTACTGTACTTGGAGTTTGTTGGTCATTATCTGGCTGTTCGTCAGATATTCTGTCCCTTACTTCTCTCTTTTCCTTCTGGGACCCTCACGATGTGTAGTTTTGCTTGATGAATCCCACGGATCCTTATACGCTGTTTACTTTCTTCCAACTTTTTTCCTGTTCCTCAGACTCTTAATAATTTCCATTGTCCTATTTTCATGTATACTGATTCTTCTGCTGCTCAAATCTGCATTTGAATACCCAGTTGTGAGTTTTTCATTCCAGTTAATGTACTTTCTAGCTCCTGAAATTTTTGAATCGTCTTAGATTTTCTCTGTATTGATTTTGTTCATCCATTGTTTTCTTGACTTTTTCCACATGATCTTGGGTTCTTTAAAAAATATCCTTAAGGCAGTTGTTAATAGAGTCTTTACTAGATCCACCATCAAGTCTTTTTCAGAGATAGTTTGTTTTCATCTGAAAGGGACATACTTTCCTATTTGTACTCCTTTTTTTTTTTTTTTTTTTTGCTGAAAACTGAACTTCAATCTAATAATATGGTAACTACATCTCACTAAGGTCCCTAAGTTAATGGTTTTCTTAAAACTATTCCTTACTTTGCCTGCCTTGAACAAGGTGACAAATGTGAAATCTGCATGTCTTTCAAAATACAAATAGATAGAATCTTACAATTATTTAAGTTTATATATAAGAAAACATTTTAATTAAGATAAAAATATGCTAAAATTATCTCCCTTTACCCAGTATCTATCTTCCACTAATTTATTATTGCTTTGTAATAATTATCATGTTTCCCTTTGGTGCAGATAATTCTAATATTCTTCTGGTCTGAGTCATATGCTTATGTTGATATGACACGTTTCTCCAGGGTGGTGTTCAGATTGCATGTTCAGGGAGCAACAGCCACAATTAACAAGGTCATCTGTTTAGAATGCAGATACCAGGGCTCCACTAAAGATATGTTGAATCAGAAGCTCTGGGAGTAAGCTGAGGATCTTATCTTTTGATAGACTCCTCAAATGAGCCTCAGGCACAGAAATGTTTGAGAACCACTGCCGTTGAGTCTAAATTATTTCAGCTTTGGACAGAAAACTGCTAGTAAGAACTACTTAAATAAAAGCCACCAATGTTTTCAGAACCAAGGTGATTTTTTATGGCTTTAAAAATCCTTAAATAGTAGTTCTGAACATGTTTTTAACGTACCAAATAAGAATTGCTAACTAGTTTATTTTTGCTAAGGGTAGCTAGAGTTTTAAACCTAATCTAAAATAAGGTTAATTCTGTATGGAAGTCAATTAGTAAGAATATGCCTTAATTCATCATATAAATGTAGGTGTCTATTGTGTACTTCATAGTATTCAGCTGAATGATGGGATCTTGGGAAAGATAATGTGGTCTAGAGTTAAGAGCACTAGCTTTGATTGAGATCAAGCTGCAGTATTTACTAACTGAATGAGTCTT